GTCCAGAGCATAGGTAGAAATGCAAAAATTAGAAGCTGAGAAAAAGACGTTTAAAGTTTTTGATGCGCCCACGTTAACACTTGTGAACCTTGCGTGCATACTTGATTTGAGGCACTTAGAGTTGGAATTCGATAATGAAACTTACACACTATATTCTTTAAATAATAAACTATTTTTTAAACCAAAAAAAAAATTTGCCCAACAAATTTTGGTTTACATGTATATCCCCCCTTAATCAAGCAAAGTAGCGACCTCTTTCGTCCTTAATAAATCAGGGTCAACTTTTAATGAACCTGAGTGGAAAAACCCTGATTTCCCAGCTCATATCTTTCCCACCAGTTTTCAGAGTCCACACACAGCTTACGTATTCCAACTCGTTAATAACTTTGCATGTTATGAAGGAACAGCGTCCTTGCTTGTTCCTGTAAATAAACTTCTGCGAAAATGTTTGCGCAGTATGCAAAAACTTTTCGATTGTGGAAATCGCTCCTTGGGCGCACCACACGTGCAGCTCGGAGCTGGGATTGCGGAATTGATTTAAGAACTTCATAAATAGTGCTGAAATGAGTAATGAATGTGAATTGCTGGTTTCTCCCTTTACAATAGCCGGCGAGAGAGCTATTGACAGCTGCGGGAGCTGTTCATATTTCGCTCAGCGGGCGTAAAGCATTATAAGTCCCGCTCAGATGTGAATCAAAAGGACAGCGGGACGGTTCGAACCAGTACGAAACTCTCAATGCTTCCATTCAAAAAGGGATTTAATAAATACAATCTTCACAATGGAAATGCCCGTTTTTCCCTTCATCGAAAGCCATTGCCATTCCGTGATTGCGCCAGCTCCTCTTCCAGTCTTTTTTGCTTCTCCAGCTCATTTAAGAAATATTTAATTTCGAGAAAATGAATTATAAATGCAATTTACCCCACTGCACAGCAGGGAGCTCTATTTCATGTTTTCCTCCCACTTTCCCTCCTTATGATGCGTCTTTGTCCTCTGATGGCCTATGCAGAAAATTAATTACGCCGCTGAAACTTGATTCCCGCTCGCAGTCTAAAGTCAGCAGACGCCGCTGAGGATGAGGATGCGGTTCCGGAAGCCCTTGTGCCAATGCGACCACAACTGACCCAGTTGTTTAATTGAATTGAAGCCATAAACACTTGGAGAGCCGGAGCCACACAGCCGCACAAAACCGAAGTGAGCGCGAGTCGGGAATGAAAAATGGCCACGGCCAGGAGCACTCGTTAAATAACTTTAATTAGTAGTGCGAGTGTGGCCATCAATCACCTTTGAGCGAGAGCGAGAGCGGTGGAGAGAGCGAGTGCGAGCGGAAACGGAAACGGCGGCGGAAACGCCAACGGAAGCCACGTGGCCATTGCTAAGCATTTTGACAGCTGCGCCTGTCGCTTATGCAACAAAGCACACACATACGCACACTGAAGGAAAAGTAGCCACCCAAAATCGGGGATTTAGTTGAGGATTTAGGAGTTTAATTTCGAGTAAAAAGTAAAAAGAAAGCTATAATTTATTTACATAAAATATATACGATATTGTAAGTAAGAATTCAGACAGACCTTTATTGTTTATTTTTTATGTTAATTATTATTGGCTGAGCTGAATTTTTTACAAGGTATTGTCTTCATTTTGTAAAAATAAATGTATATTTTTTTAGTATTACAAAAGCTTTTATCACATTTTTAAGAAATATTTTTTCTTTTAGGTTTTTCAATGCTGACTTTAATATTTCATAAGATTCTGATATGCAAACCGAACTAGATGGCTCTTTAGCATTTTTGCTATCAAAATATCGGTGAAAAAAGCATAAATGCTTTATCATATAACCGGGAATAAGGTAAGCCATTTTTAATCCCCACAATAGTTTTTTGGCAGTACAAATGTAATATAAGCACACAAAAAATATATGGTTGTGTAAAACCATTATAAAGAATAAATAAATAAATACTTCTCTCTAGCAGTTAGAATTTCCTATAAATAAAAGTGATTATAAATATATATTTTTTTATAAATTGAGCCAATGTACAAAATTATACATTAAAATGTGTCTTAATATATAATTGATAACTTATTTTAGATTTAAAAAATCAAAAATTTATTTATTTATAGATATAGACAACCCTCACAATTTTTTATTTAATTTTTTTAAGTAATTTTCATGAGGTAATCTAAACATAATCTCCTTTAAGAGTCCCATTTCGACATTTCCTTCATCACAGTGACTATAAATTTTGTATAGTAACATTCGACCATGACCAAACCAACTTTCTTTTAGAAATAACTCTTACTGAGTCGACTCTTTCCCCTGTGCACACATGCACCGTGCTATGTACCAAAAAATTAAGGAAATACGAGAAAGCAAGGAATTAATCAAATTGCAAATTTCATCAGCGTGGCGAAAAAAACAAGCGCAGATGTGGAGCTTCCAGCGACAGCCAGCAAAAGTTGTTGACATCTTCTGAGCCAACACGTAGCGCCAGCAACAAGAACACACACAAAAAGTAGTAAACACTTGACGAGAGCGGCGGCAGGCGGCAAGAACAACACGGACCAACAGCTCAGCAGCCACTACTGCTGCCAAAAGAGAAGAAAGGACCGGGGCTACAGCAAATGTTTGCTTAAAAATGATGCGAGTCGCCTCCACCCTCATCCCAGGAGAAGAATTTGGTAGGGCTGGTATGCCTTAGGATGGGGGGGGCAGATGCTTCTTCTGCTCCTGACAGATGCAAGACGCGTTGACAGTGACAGAGACAATGATGACGGCGATGGTTATGTTGGGGATCATCATGAGGACGGGATGAGGTTGTGTGGTGTGGAGGCCAACATTCGGCATAATCCCGCTGACAAAATGTCATTACACCATCTACATAGTACATAGTGAAGTTGCCTTTTGAAGTTTTCCGACTTGTGAGTTTTTTGAGTTGGAAAAGGAAGGGAAGGACCTGTGCCGGATTGCAAGCTCAGGGGGTCGACGCTTAAATAAATTAATGACTGGCACAGTTGTATATTTCCATATTAAGTGAAAATACGTTTTGAAGAAATATTTGTGCAAATTATACTGTCAGTTTAAATAACCTATGATGTTCCTTGATGTCACAAATGCATTTAGACTTAAGTCACAACTTTAAGGCTAAGTCTAACCTTTGTTTATAAAGAAATGCTATTAAAATTTCCAATGATAGTAATACCTCCTAATTAGACGCCTGTAATTGGATAAGGAGCCTTAATTTTAATATTAAAATATTAAAAAAAACCCTTTCACGTTCCTAATTTGAGCATTGCCTACCTACCTCCTACACAGAGTATTATTTTTGTAATCAAGAAATCAGAGATTACTAAGATAAAACCCAAAGGACCAAATAATTATTTAACATACACCCGAATGTATATCCTTAGAAAGGATATAAAGTAAATTAAGCCTTAAAGGACCTCTTCCGCTCCTCTTTGACTTACCGTAAATACAATTGTTCAAAGTAGTCCTTGTCCCGGAGTCTGTTACGGCTATAGTTATTCCTCAGCTCTCCGCCGGAATCGGAAGTCACGCGAGTGCCCGAGTCATTGACAAATGGCCAGGGAACTGACGCTCTATTGTTTTATTTTTATTTTACCACGTTTCCCGAGCACTTTTCCGAGTTTTCACTGACTACACTGCCTTCCGCCGGCCCCGCGAATTGGCCTAGTTTGTCTAGTATTTTGGCGTTGTCTTTCGTGTGTTTTTCTTAGGCCTCTCCTAGGCTGCAGTTTTGAGTTACTTGGCACTTGTGTCTAATGCTTTTGTCTGCTTTTCTTGCTTTCTGCTTGCGTTTTTCAGCATTTCTCTTGCGTTTTCCAGACGGGCGACGCTCAGTCTTTGCTTGCACTTGAGAGGAGCCGTTATCTGGGTGGTGTGCCGGTTGTGTGTGTGTGTGTGTTTGGTGTGTTTTGCAAGTGCGGTTGAATTAGCGAGTGAGACACGAACTTTTGACCCCGTTTCGACAATAACAACACGAGAGGAGCAGAGCAGAGGCTTCTGTACTCCGGCTTTTTGAACCCGCTGCTGCTGGCCGGCTTTTCTTTTTGGCTATTGCCACACTGAATACGTTTATAGGTTTGTCGGTGACTTAATTTTTGGCGCTTCCCACTGGGTCCTTGGTGTTTATTGATTTAGCAGGGCGTTGTAATAATAGCAATAACTCTTTATTACCCTTGAGCCTGTCATTTGCACACACATAACCACATTTTGTTTCAAAATGGAAGGATTTTCCGCTTTGTTTTCAACACTCTTCACAGTCATAGCTCGAAACTTAAGTTTTCAGATTTTCCGCACGTTTTACGTAGCCAACCCGAAGTGATAAACCCGTAAACATGACGTTTTTGCTCAGCCAGCGCGTCACAAACTGAACAAACTGAAGGAAAAGCCAGCATCTGAGCTTTCCAGACACTTGGCAGCTGTGATTTGCAGTACTTTCTCTCTTGCGCTTTCTCTCTTTGGCGCCATCCGGAAATGTACCTTTCTCCACGTGTCGAGCGAACAGCTGTTGCCGCAGATGTTCCACTGAGACTGCGTACTAACAGCTCACTGGAAAAGCTAGGAAATTTTCCGAGCTTTGTGTCTTTATGGCACTGGAAATGTATGAAAATGGGAATAGTTATCCATGGCCATAATGGTCTTTCCACCAAGGCGCCGCCTACAAAACAAATTGAACCCAAAAGTTGGCGCGAAAGTCAACACTTCGCATACAAACAGACACACATACGCATGGGGCGGCAGAAGGGCCATCTTTCCGCTTGGCCAACTTTTGGGGCCAACAAACTTTTCGCATAACAAAAAGCCTGAAATTTTTTAACCTACATTTGGCTTCAATTTACTCCTTAGATGGGGTTTACCCAATCTTAGGTAGAAGTATCAACTTGTTTACCTCTTTTGCAATAAGGTAATTAATTTACAAAGAACAAAAAAGGATATATGTTATATATAAAAGAATTTTTCACATGCACTTGAACATACAAATTAATTTAAAATATTTTTTATTACATTTTTTTTTATCTAATTGCAGTATTCAGCAACAATGACCGTCATGTCCTTGGTGGCTGTGGCAGAGTCCTTGTCCACTGAATATATGCGAGACCTGATCTCCGCCCGCCTTCTCATCCCCCTGCTCCATGCTGGCAAATCCTTTAAGGTCCCGCCGCATGTTATAGCCATCTTCACCATCCCTGTAGAACCCGGGCTTTATCACCTGGATCTTGAACTGAAGCGAATTGGTGTAAAGGCTCAGGGCAGCTCGGTTGCTCTTGCGCACATGAAGCGACACATGCTGCGCATTGAAGCACTCCACCATGGCCTGCGAGACCTGGTCCATTAGTTTTTGGGCCAGACCAAGCCGGCGGTAGGAGCGCTTAACCGCCAGCGAAAGGATGTGGCCACACCGACCGTCGATCGGGTCCGGCTCCAGTATTTTGCCCAAGACATAGCCCACGATGCCGCCCTCCTCGTTCTCGGCCACGTAACTGAGCTGCGGCCAGGTGGTACCTATGCAGAGATAGTACCTCATTTTGTAGTTCTCGGGCAGGCACAGCAGGTTGCAGTGGTGCATGCTCAGGAAGTCCTCTGGCCTGGCGCAGCGGATGTTCATCGTGCAGGTATGTTAATTCTTGCTAATTATATTTGCTGCTCCTTCAGAATGAAACTCGTTTGTCAAATGAAAATTATATTGGGAAGACAGCTACAAGATAACATTTGACATTTGACATTTGTCGCCAGGCCAACTAATATTTTCCAATCTCAACAAAAACCCGCACTCATCGTCATTACTTCTTTTTAATTTTAGTTACGCTTTATCTGTTAATTAATTACAAAAACCTAATGCACAAAAATGCAAAAAACGTCGAAACATGCGCACCTCAGCATTTATGGTTCAGCAACAATGGCCGTCGTGACCGCTGTGGTTGTGGGAGTGTCCGTGTCCGCTGGATCTGTGCGAGACCTTAGTATCCCCGCCAGACGTCTCCTCGTCGCCCGCCTGCTTCGACTTGACCTGGTCCTCGTCGGCAAATTCACTGAGGTCGCGCCGCATGGCATAGGCATCCTCGCCGTCCGCATAGTACTTGGGCTCCACCTCGATGATCTTGAACTTGAGCGAGTTGGCATAGAGGTTGAGGGCAGCCCGGTTGCTCTTACGCACATGGAGCGACACATACTGCGCGTTGAAGCACTCGACCATGGCCTGCGAGGCCTGGTTCATCAGCTTCTGGGCTAGGCCGAGGCGGCGGTAGGAGCGCTTCACCGCCAGCGAGGTGATGTGGCCGTGGCGGCTCTCCTCGTTTGGCTCCGGCTCCTCCATCTTGGCCAGAACGTAGCCCACGATGCTGCCCTTGTCGTCCTCGGCCACGTAGCTGAGCTGCGGCCACGTGAGGCCGTGGTAGAAGTAGTACTTCATCTGGTAGTTCTCGGGCAGGCACAGCAGGTTGCAGTGCTGCATGGTCATCAGGTCCTCGGGTTTCGCGCAACGGATGTTCATGGTGTGGCTGTTACTGCGGATCGGCTTGACGGTTGATTTCGGCTAGTCTCGGCGAGCTTTCCTCGCTCTGCCCGGCTGCTGTGGATGCTGTTGATTCTGGTGGTGATCCCAGGCAAGTGGCTGCTGCTCCTCCGGCTCCTCCTGACCCAACAACTCGCGCACGAGACGAAACTTTGACAGAAAAGCCTTCCAAATGAGAAACCAGCCTGCAACGGGATGGGGCATAGCATTTATGAGTGAGTAAGAGATCGGAGTGTGGAAACTGGACTCCCACTATGCGTAATCGTCTGCGGGCGCCTGCTTACCCAACAAAATAATGGCTGCGACGAAACTAACAGAGGCTAATATGGTGAAAATGAAAACCAAGCCCGTTTGCAGGGACATTTCAAGGGGAAACTGTGAAATTGTCAGCTCTAAACATTCAGATAAGGAAGGGGATGTGTGTGGAAAATTAGAAACTACGGGTAAATTTTTTAAAACTCCTCTTTCTGACAGCAAAAATAAGTTTCTTAAAATTTTGTGTGGTTTCTGGTGCTTTCACAATAAAAAACAGCTGTCATGCAGGTGTGACCGTTTTACCGAACTCAAAATCCCACATGTCTGACTATTGATGCCTAATTGGGAGATTACAATAAAATTAACAACAATTTCTAGAAGCATAGGCATTAAACTAAGGGTATTCATTAACATTTGTACATAGTTAACTTCTTTTTAGGGTAAATATTGTTTTAAAAGGTTCCCACACTCGCAACTATTGTTGCCACCAAAAACCACATGGAGTTGCAAAATCAACTAAGCAGCCATTTGCCGCTGTAATATAAGTCAGGCGGTTAATAAGACACTATTGGAAATAAGCTAACGATACTTATTGTCCCGCACTTGGGTTAGTTTTTATTTAATAACCACCTTGCTTATTAATTTATTTATTTTTCGCGAACGAGCACACTTCTTGCACACTTATACACCGGCACCAGTGTTACCAAAACTAAAATCCAAAAAATACTTAAATAAATATTGAAACTATATGTTTTATTAAAATTTGTTGTTTATATGTAGTCAAATATATGGTTAATTCCAATAAAATAAATATTGCTAGAGCTTTTATTCTAAATTTTTTTAATAAATCCAAATTTTACCTACATCAAAATATACCATCCGTAAAATACCAAATTGTATAATTTGTTGTGTATGCATGTAAAAACAGCTGATTACCTTTGACAAGTTGGCAGCGCCTCGCTGGATTCTAATTTTAAAAACAATAAGTTATTAAACAAATGCGATTTTAGCATTAAACTTACGCAAAATGCAAGAGTTTTCGGCCAAACGCGATGCCCTATTCGCGTGCCTAGACGATGCCAGCAAAGAGCTGAGGGGCACGGCCCTGGACCAGAGCAAGGCCAGGCCGTACTCCATCAATGCTCTCGACCGGGGAAGTGAATCCGGAAATGCGTCCGGATCCGGACAGGTGATGAACTACCGCCACGGACGCAGCATTGAGGCAGGCCTCGAACCGACGGACGGCAGTTTGCGACGAATGCGCGGCAAAGAGAGCATTTTCAAGAAGCCCGAGCTGCCCATCGGTCGGTGTTTAAAGCCTCGAAACACGCCGGATTACCAGGTGAGAGAATTGTCTTCTAACCATACAAGAACCCCTTTCAAGTACCTTGGACTTACCCACAGATAAATCCCCACAAGTGGAAGAAGTACTCCCTGGCCGACGTCGATATCTCCGATCAAAGCAACTCGGCAGCCGCTTTGTCTTTTCTCCGGGAAATGGATTCCCAGCGGGAAGCTGAGGGAGCTGGCATGGATTCCCAGGATGCCGGCGGCAAGATTGAGTTCAAGAAGACCAGCAAACTCAATCGCAATCTCAAGAAGTTGCAGGCGGAGGAAGTAAACGATGTGGAGCTGGACAAGCCCCAGTTAAGAGGCTCCAAACTGGTGATGCCCGAGTATGTTATAGGCCAAAAGGCGCAGAAACAAAAGAAATCCAAGCCCAAGTCAAATCAAAGTCGTGCCGCGGGGAAACTCCAGCTTTCTCACTTGGCCGAGGAAGACGAACTGGATGAATAGCCTATAGATTTTAGGCTTACTCTTATTTTAGTCTTAGTAGTTAATATTTAAGAGTGTAAATAGAACACAATTCTTTTCAGCTTATTAAAACACCAAGGTTTTGTCTAAAAATGCAGAGATTTATTCTTTAAGTATACAAATCGTTTCTAAGAGTAGACAAAATTGTAATACATTTTACTTAATATTTTAAAAATCCCACTCTGTAAAGTGGAATGGTTGCTTGTGACAATGATCACTTAGAAAGACATCATTTTCCTACCCCACACTTTGGGGTACTACAATATGCATTCGATATGAAGGAAAATTAGGAGAGTATTGTCTCAGAGTATAAAAGATTACAAACATATATAGCACGCGGCACAAAACACATAATCTAAAGGACATACATAAATGCGACGACGATACGTACATAAATACGGTTGTGAAATGCAAATAGTCAGTCGGGGGAATGCTTTCAATATGGGCAGTGGCTGGTGCGGCTACTCCTTGTAGAAGCCGGGATTGAAAAAGAGCTTCTTGTTGAAACCGAGATTATCGAAGGCGCCCGTCTGCATGGATCCCTTCAGAGTGCGCATAGCGCCCACCGAGGCGTGCGTCTTCTTCAGGATGTCCTCGAGGTGCGTGTCGTGGGCGTGTTTGGCGAGCATGTCGCACAGCGTCTGGATGTACCAGCTGCCGGTTTCGGGATCCCTGTGGGTCACATACCCGGGCGTATTGGCATGGCACACCAGCGTGTCCGAGAGCGTAGCCACTTTCGCACGGGAAAAACCCTCCGTTTCGACCTCCCGCTCCTGCGGCAGCACTGCAACGGATGCTGGCACCATGGTATCGAAGTGATTATTCGGCTGACCCTTATCCTCCTGCTCACCGCGACAAGACGGAAATATTAGCACCTTTGGCTTGTCCACCAGATACGGGCTGACGTTCGCCTGAAAGTGGCTCATAATTATGTGCGTATCCGCCACGGATCCATCGTGGAACTCCACCTTGTCGATCTCCTTAACGCGATTGCCGTGCGTCATCAGCACCATCACGAAGCACTCAGTGTTCTTGGCGTACGGCGAGGACGTCACCTGCCGTAGCACATCAAAGAACTGCTGCTGATTCATGTTATCGTAAGCAAAGACAATGAAGCCCATTAAGCGGAACAGGTGTATCAGAGAGTTGCTGTCCACATGGGCGCCGTTCCGCCTCCGTTCCGGATTGGGGAAGTCGATGATGTTGACCATAAACAACACTCCGCGGTTGTTACGCGACTCCATGGGATATATTTCCAACAGCTTGTCGGTATGGATCATTGTTGACATTATCACCTCCCGTGTTCCCTCGACGGGCTCAGTGTAAGGGGTAAGTGGTCCCAGGGGATCGCCAAGGGGCTTCTGCAACGGTAGCGGAAACGAGATAAGAATTTGTAGAGCAAAAAAAAAACTGATAACATTACAAAAACGTGAATGAATGCAGAATTCTCTATTAAAACGCATTATGAATTAGTCAGTTTTAGGACAAACTTGCAGTGGGTGCATTAAGATATCGATATGATGGCATCATGTGGTGAAATTCAGGGAACAGGAGTATTTACGGGAGTCCCCAAACTGGTTTTAGCCCCCACAGAAAACGGGGTAAAGCACTTGAAGTTTGTGGGAAAGGTATTTGTTTTTGATTTCGGATTTAGCTTATCAACATGGCCTTGACGGTGATTCATCTATACCAAGTAGGTTAATGACCCTAGCCCACTGGAGAAATGAGTGGGATAGGTAACATTTTTGTTTATTCGTAACCTACTGATGGGAAGGGGGTTATGTGCATATATAAACATAATGTAGTCATAACCCATATCTTTAGTTATCAGAATCAAAAAACTCACCTTGCTATAACAGGCTCCTTCCGCCTCCGGCGTTTTGGTATCCACAATGTCCGCTGACCTGCTGTTGGTCTTGCGCTCGGTGATCGATATGAAGGGCACCCTGGCGGCGGCATCGTCGACGGAAGCCAGTAGCTCGGCGGCTTCCACACAGTTCACCTTTCGCAGGGCAATTATCAGCAGATTGTAGGCGGTGGGACCGCGCTGAATGATCTTGAGAAAGAGCTTGCGATGCTGCTCCAACCGGACATCCTCCTCGTCCATGTTGAAGCGCTCGCCGTTGAGATCCTCAGCGTTGCGCAGCATCTGGGTGGACAGAATGCCCTGGCGGACGCACTCGGTGGCTATGCGGCTGTAGTCAGTCATCTTTACCAGCCGATCGAGGTTTTGGCGGATGTGGTCGCGGTGCTTCTTCAGCATTCCAATCTCGCGTTCGGGTGGCTGCATTCCGAAGTTGTTGTTTTGCGTGTGTTATAGCTTAGTTGCACTTATTTGTAAGTCGAAGGACAGCGGCAGTGTTCAATCTCCAATTGGCAGTGATATTGGCAATGAGTCACCTCAAGGTTTTTCCGTGACTGGCTTTTGGCTTTGGCACTCGGTGTTCGCGTCTTTGTCTCCTCTCGGGCTTTGTTTTCGTTGTCGTTTGCGCTGGCGGGGCAACAGGCACTAGCGCGGGGGCAGCACTGGCAGGGTCCTTATTTTTTCAAAAGCAAATTAAGTATGTATTGCACTGGGATAATATTGCACAAGGATTTTAAGGATAAGATTTCTTTTGAAACAAAAGGATCAGTGCTAATGCTCTCTCTCTCGTTCGCAGCCGTTCGTTGTCTCTCTTTCGCGTTGACTAAATTCTAAGTGCGGATCTGTGTGGCCGTTGGGCGGGCCATAAAATATACCCCCCTACATAGCAACTAAAAAATACCGCCGTTAAATACGTAATACCAACGGCAAGGCGCATCGCAAGGTCCACCCTGTTAAAAAAGAAGTTAGCAGCTCTACTTCCACAGCTGATTTTATTTTGAATTAAAATTTTGCGAAAAGTACAACAAATAATTATTGAAATGGAAAACGAACCCGCAGCGAAAATCACTCCGAATACTGGTATCCATAAGAGAGACCTCAAGAGGCGCTTGGAGAGGTTTCTGTACAAAAAGGGCTACTCGCAGGAAAACCTCCTGGCAGCCTCCAAAATCCGCGACCAAGACCACTCGAGGGAGGTGTTTGGTGAGTTTCCAGGACTATCAAGGACTTTTGCAATATAAATAACACCCTTGCAGCCTACGTGTCTAGTATGTACGACTGGGCAAGCGAAGGAGTCGCCAACTGCGACTCCGTCAGTCTGAACAACATCACCCAGTGGCTGGAGCTGATGAGGACCGCTGATCTCTCCAATCGCTGCGAATTTGAGGCGGCGGCCGTTGTGAACTCAATAGTTATGAATGAGATTAAGCCACTGCCAGAAAAACTAAATGGCATTGACTTAAAGTAAGAATAAAGCTAGTTTTGGATGTTCTTTGAACTTAACAAATTTATATGTATTTTAGTGAGGCCTACACATTTCTGGAAAATGCGCTACTGGGCCATCCCCAGAAGAAGTTAACTGAAGCCACCAAGGCGTTTATTTCCAAAGAAATTGAGGTGAATTATCCTAAGTGATTTTCTCTACATATTTGTTTTAATATTAATATGTACACCCACAGCTTCTTATAGCCGAGGCCAACACCGATGAGTCGGACGATGTGGCGCGGAGCATGGGACAGAGCCTGTACCACGAGCAGGAGTACGACTATGTGGCGCAGCCCAACAAGGCTAGCCTGGATCCCCTGTTCCTGGACGAAAGAGAATAATTGTAGAGCGGCACACAGCTTAATCATTTCCACACATTTATTAAACATTTAAATTCAAGTTTTGTTTTTATATACGTACATTGTCACATTTGCATTTGCACTTTGTCGCTCCAATATCAATCGATTCCTCGCTCTATACATAAGTATTACTATGCCGAATGATGCCCCGAACCTTTGTACGTATTAGTTAATATTCGATAATTACACTCATAATTAAGTACTTGACTATAAACAGCTTTAGCACATTTAAAATCTAGAATTCCTTTAGTTGTACACGATTACTTCAAGTAGGTGTAAGTACACGAGTATAAGAAAAAGTTAAGGTTAGGGTTCCTTGGCCTTTGGATTCTCTCAATTGCATAACATTTATTGTGCATGATTGTTTTCAATGGTTGCTTGTCGCCAATAGCGTTGCATAGACTAGAGTATAGAGAATTGGTAGTTTAGTTTTTGTTTTGCTTTGACTAGCTTTGTTTTAAACTTTAAGAGGCATAAAAACAGTGGAGTGCTGCTTGACTCTCATAGCATCACAATAGAATCACAAGAGACAGAGTTGGCTACGTTTTGCTTTTGCATTTGCATTTTCAATTTCAGGTTCTAGGATGTCACACACTTACGATAAGATAACCAAAGATGATTCCACATACATACGTTCAAAGTTACATATACAAATTCGAATACAAATATAATACCCTTTAACATTAACCGTAGTGTTCAATCAATCAAATGCAATTCAATAATGTACATAATATAACTCTTAAATGTTCAGTCCAGTTTGAGCTTTTGGTTTTCCCCTTCTTTTTGGTTTCTCTTTAGCTTGTGTAATTAATTAATTAAAATTAAGTAAATCTAATTATTTATACATACGATTAAACGCTAGTAAACCATATATCGATATGCCTGGTCCAAGCTCCCGAAAATGTAACCGAAACGAGCGTCAACAACTAAAACTAACTAAGACTAGGACTCAACACAATGCAAAGCAGATTCGGGTGCATGGCAAGGATATGCTGGAGTTTCAGGATCATTAGATCGTGGCATCAACCAAATGCAGATCCCGCAGGATCGAACGAACACAACGAAGACCACAAAACAAACGCAACAGCAACGAATAATTATTATAATTGTTAAAGTGTATTGGCAAAGAGTGTCGTGTCGGTAGAATTTTGATTGTCCCGTTCCCGTGTCGTGTTACTCAGAGCATAGATCATTCGTGTGTATATATATAAGGTAGGTTTCAGCGTGTCCTAGGTAGAGTTCGCCTTTCCTTCTGCTTGTATACATATATATAAATTCATATTTGGTTTCTATTTGCCGCTAAAACATACCACACAACAATGATAATCGCTTAATTTCCGCTTTCGTAATGAATACATCGAAGACTTCTCCACTATATGGGTAGTTTCAGGAGTTTACCATTTACCACACATCTATACAAATTGACTATAAATCTGAGAGTTTGAGTTGTTGCCTCCGTTAATCTGTTTCAGGATTCGTGTGTTCACCTTAGTAGTAGTTTTGAGTATGGTTTTCTGGTCGTTTTGGCATATTCCGCTTGAACAGGAGTGGTAACAGTGTAAGTATTTTTGGAATGGATTGGATGATGTGGCGGGGGCAGGCTGGAACTCTCGATCGATAAAAATATCCTTTCATATTCGTGGTTATTTATGTATATTCATTTTGATTGCGTCTGCCGTAAAGCTCTGGGATAAATTTGATTCTCTTGATGCCTAGGTACGTCGTACAGTAGGTACTCGGTTTCGATTGTAGTTAATTGCATATTAATATTTGAGGTGTTTATGTTTATGCTCTAGGGATATGATATATGCTGATAAATATAAAATTAGCGCACAAATCGAATGCTTATGATATGATTGCATTAAATAATAAGAAAAATATCAGTATGCTATATGTGAGGAATATTTGACGTGTACTTTGGGCCTAGCGTAAACATTTATAATAAATATATGTATGTATTATTAAGGGGCTTCTATGAATTGATTGCATTCTGCATAGTGTTCTCTGTAGATCCTTGGGGATTGTGTGTTTGTGTGTGTGTGTGTGTGTTTGACACATTTCTCTTGTGGTTAAATTACATTAAGTTTGCGGATTACCTTTGTTGCTTTGGTCACATCGAATTGGATTGGCTAACAACATTTAGATTGGTTTTAAGCTTGCTCTTGGTATACGTTTACAATGTCATAATTATATAACGCTAATATATATATAATATATTTGTTAGTTGATTACTGGTGTTTCATAAATGGACCGAAATTGCATTGAAAAGTAATTGGATTCTTTTGAATGTTATTTTTTCTGTATTTTTTGCGTTCTTAGTTACGTCCGGAGAATAGTTGATACTGTAATAGAGTTGTTGCAAGATCATAATTAGGCCATCAATCTGGTTGATTTCAAACGGTTTGTCAAAATACATAGAGATCTAGTTTTGGTAGGTAGTATTGTTACAATAAGTGGGTATAGCTAGCTACTGTTACGAAACTGGGAACTGCTGCAGCTACTTAATACCGGAGAGTATTACTCGTTTATTACGTATATTACGGGGGTTACGGATACAGGAAAATATACACAAAATATTTGGAGGCAGGGAGGGAGAACGGGGGCGGGGCACACACAGAGTACAATTGTATTATTAGCAAAACAGACATCGACATCGGTTATCGGTATTCGGGAGGGTTCGGTAATCATGCATCGATTCTCGGGACTGCTTCCGGTTTCCGGTGATAATACATCTGGGATCTGGTGACTGTATCTTTTGGTTTTCTGGGTTGAATGCAAACTACGAACATCTATCTAGGGTCAACTTACGACTAGGTGTACGTGTCTGTGTTGGAACGAATCGGATCGGATCGGACTTCCGCCGGATGTGAGTGACTACAAAACTACTACTAAGGTACAATTGTGGATGAGTGTGGGTATTATCGGGATGGAGAGGGCTTTACTACCGGGGACTTACGTTTCGGCAGAGTTAAGCCTGTCTTAGGTAGCGGTAGTTACTCTTTTCGATCTCACCCAGTTTGGCATTAATGTGTGTATATGTAATTCTTAAAGACTTGTCGCACAATCTACGCACATTTGGAATGCGAGAACCTTTGAACTCTTAAGGCACATTTCGAAGTATAATAATCATAATCATAATCATATAGGTACGACTTACAGTACAGCGAAAGCAAATGGAAATAATAAAATGCACAAGCGGGTTACGGGTTAAGGGGTTACGGGATCACGGGGCTATAGGTATCAAAGCAACACTGATTGTGCAAAAGTCAAGTATACATTTAACAGTTACAATAAATTCGCAATGACTTAATCGTAGTAGAGTAAAAATACAAAGTACAAATGCATATAAACATCTGGTAAGTCGGTAAACAGATTCATATAGTTCAGATTCAGATCGATATATGTATATAGTGGGTATGCAAGATAGCGGGTAGCAGCCTTCTGAAGCCTTCAGTGTCAGTCAATCAATCAAGTTTACACATATATGTATGTATATATATATATATTGTACAATATTTCCGCGATCAGCAGTTTAATTCGATTTGTTCTCAGCTCGAGGTTTCTCTCATTTCCATATATATATTTCTCAATTATCGGTTGTTCTTGTTGTATTTCCAAAATATTTATATAGTGCAGTTCAGATGGGCAGAAAGTAAAATGGCAAGTCAAGTAGTACAGAGACATTCATAACGTCAATTCCAATACACTTAGGAACACCACAAATATATTGTACAGCTGCGAGAAAGTTTAGAAATCATTTGTTTTGCAAGATATTAAATTAAATTAAAAAATTGCAGGCACAGAATTAGCATGCATTTCAACGTTTCTTATCCTTCTGTTTCCTATAGTTTAGGCTACGGTTTTAGTATCAGTTTCACCTATGATTCAGCACAAGGTCATTTATGGGGTCTGATGTAAGTTTTAAAAGGTTTCCCTGCCATTTTGGTTTAGTTTCATGCATTTAAGGTCCTTATTTTGTTATGTTAATAATACTGATTGTGGTAAACACTTTTTCCTTTAGATGTAAGTTTTAATATTTAGCAAAACTTTGAAGAATTTGATAGTAAATCGGACAAATGGGTGACAAACTGCTTTAATAGCTTTCAAACATGAGAAATAACAAGCCAAGAAACCATGCAAGAAATAATATACAAAAGGTTTTGAAATCAATTTGAAAATTATAAATAAATCTATCAAATATAGTACCTGGATTACCGCAATATACAGGAACTTAACTTTATCAACTTAACGTGTACGTTACTAACTGTAGCTTTCCTATCTCATATTTCGTATGGCGACCATTAATCCAACATTAAACCGATAAATTCATGGTGCAGGTGCTTAGGCTAAACTAACTGGTAATATGTGAGCTTTAACAATAACACCACTGTCACGGTCGCCAAAAAAGGCGACGGGTTTTACGAGTTCAGGGACCAGGATAAAGGATTCAAATCAAGTTAGCATCACGTTCCGCACATAAACACTACGCTAATACACACACATGCAGCGGTGGCCATAGTGTCTGTGTGTGGGCGGGAAATCGGGGGATCTCTCAAATTGATTTTCCAATCACTAATCGAATTCGATTCAATTCTCACGTCCGATTTTTCAGGGGAAGTGAGAGCGTGAGAGAGAGAGAGAGGAGCAGGAGTGGCAACAACTAAGATAATCAACAGTGTCAATAATAATAAATGTAAATAGCTGTTAGTAAGTAAGTATCCAATTGGGCTATGTGGCGGATAACCCGTCATGATTTTTCAGATATTTGGTATATTGGTTTGTTCAACATTAACACTTATGGTACATACAAATATAGAGGACTTGAATAAATTCGCCAAAAAACAACAGTTGTATTCGTTCTATTAGTATGCATATAAATATTAGTTTGATAATTGGTTTTATGTTTACTCTTTAGCATCGACCGTAAGTAAGTAAGTATGACTAGGCTATAGTATAATAGGTCTCACATAGGTACATTCATATACATACATAAGTTGATTCATTCCTTGATTGTTTTATTTGCTACATTTTACCCTCTGCCCCGCTTGCATATACAACACATGATTCAGATTTCGGATTCCTTTTCACTCGAATCTATCCGATTCGATTTAATTAGCTTTTGATTCGTTCTTGATTTGTTTCGTTTCGATTTGATTCGATTCGATTTGATCTTCAGTTTTCAATTCCGTGGCGGATTGAGATTGAGATTCATGCTCCGCAGCTTGGCCTTTAACCGCACGTTGTTGAGGCTCTGCTGGTAATTAAGGCTGTAATTATAGCCGTAGTTGTAGCCATAGCCGGAGCCCGAGCCGGAACCTAGCCCGGAACTGTACTGGCTGGTGCTGGCTGAACCGTAGCCGTATCTCCCGGAATCGGCGTTGGCCGGAGCCCCGCCGATTTCGTTCAGATCGTACTATTGACTGAATGTGATATTGAGTGACGGACACTTTCGGACGTTGCTGTTGCTATTGCTGTTCCGCGTACCGTTGACCCGCAACAGCGGCACCGGACTCACGGTGCCGGATACGGAAGTTAATTGTCTTACCATGCCGGATCCCAGCTGCTGCAGTAGGCCCGATCCGGAGCCGAGTGGACCCGATGACAGGACCGTGGACTGGCGGCGCGATCTAATGCTCTGCATGCTGGAGGAGAGCAGAAACGGGACGCTGCTCGAGGTGTTCGGCATGGAGCCACCCTGTTTTTGGGAGTACAATAAAGGAGATTTCTTTGGAAGATTAGTCAAGGCTTGTCGTAGAGGGGTATCTGTGCGAGTATATCGGGCGGATGCGATCGGGAGCGAGGCATACTCTTAAATATATAGTATATTATCTGTGCTATGTACAGGGTCTGCGATGTGCATGTGTGTGTGTGGTGTTGGTTGAACCCAAGGCTTACCGGTAGGTACATATAAGCTGATTGTGCTACAAACAAACAAACCAACAATGAAACCAACAAACAATCGAACAAAGCAACAAACCAACCAACCAGCAAACAAACAAACAAACAATGAAACCAAATCAGTCAAACCCGAACTGAATCAATCAATCAGAAGTCAATCGACAGACAGGAGAACAGGAGACGGATCCAAAACATTGATACAAATAGAGGGGAACTGAATGGAGAACACATACTGGATATACACGGTTGTTCAACCGAATGAGAACATATACATACAAATATATTGTATATATGGATATATGGTATGTACAGATGAGGCCGAGTACACATGAGTATTTATGCATATATATTCCAAATCAAATTTCGCAATAAGGGGCGCGGGCGGAGAGCAAATGAAATCAAATTACATTAACATAAAATTTAATATCAGCATACTGCGTGGGGTGGTGGGTGTGACGGTGTGTGTGTTTGGCGGAGTGTGTGTGTGTGCGTGTCTAGACCTTAAATAGTGGAGAGGCAGAGGAATAAAAAGGGAGAGGGGGAAAGAGCTGAGAAGAGACTGAAAAAGAAAATTAAATGGGAGAGAGAAGAAATTCTGAAATTATGAAACGTGTACTCACGATCATGCTCCGTGCAAGCTGCGAATTTTTTTTTATTTTATTTTTATACGTATAATCGATTTTTGTTTCAATTATTATTATTTTTTTGTTCGTACATGAAATGAAGAACGGAAATACACACATGAAAGAAACGCATATGTAGTGTTTTTTTGTGTTCGCCTGGGCTGAATAAGGAAAGCAGCCCAAGTTAACATGAATCCACAACGCGCTGCTGTTCAAAATTTCAACAACAACGAACCAGCGAAAATATACACAAAAATCTGGCTTCCGTTTATATAATATATATAGGTTTTCTTGTTAGCCATTCAAATAGTACATATACAGTAGTTATATAGTTAGTGTCCATGTTCATGTGTGTGTGGCATTTGGTTTTTGTTTTTCAGATACGAACGCAACATGAACAGAGTTAAATGGAAACGAAATCAAATTAACACTGAGCACGATCAGGACATTTAATGAAGAAGTAGTTTCAGTTAGGTTTTTATAGTATAGTAGAGTATAGTATATAGTATATAGTATAGTAAAATAAAACCAAATGGTTGTATTATTTCTGTATTGGTCACTGAATCGATTTATTCGTGTAAATTTCACTTCCAACGATGCTTTTGAAGTCTCTCATATATTTATATATTATCTCTAATTTTTGTCTTAAAGATACATCTTCCAGCGAAGCCCCAAAAAGTGTGCTATGAATTTGATTGATTTTTTCCTCCGTCAATTTGATTATTTCCCTGAAAAGTCTCTCCCCCATTCATCAAATTTACATCAGGCAACTTCATTATGCCGATACTCTGGCCCGCGTAAAAGCACTTTGTATATACTTAGTGGAAATCATAATGAGATACGTAGGTAGGTAAGGAAATAATGTGAGACACCGAAAAAGACAACGAAAAGGGGATAGAGTCGGCGCCTGCATTATATATACACCATACTGAATATTAGCATGAGCTTAGCATGAGCTATTCCACCCGAAAGTCCCCAGAGACAGAGAAAGAGATAGGCAGACAGAGAACGGAAGTACAGGCAGACACAGTTGAAGAACAGGACTCATGAAACTGAAGGGGAACCACACGGAAAACAATAAGTTCAAAAACGAGTTGAGAACAAACAGAGATGAATACATGTACAGGAACAGCAGCAAATGCACAAACATATCGGAAATGGAAATGATAATGAAAACGACAAAATAAATGAATAAACCAAAAATATATACAACAGGTTTTCCATCCAAAAAAACAGCACAAGAACGGATACGAGTACGAGAGATTTAGGCGCAAGTCAAATTCATATTCATATTCAAACGCAGTTGCAGTTGCAGTCTCAAAATACGAGTACATTTCGAATAAAAAGGCCAGCGAGCGGCGAGTGCGAGCGAGCGAGCGAGCAATAGAAACGAAAACGGAAACGCATCGCCCGGCTTCCGTTCGCCATTTTGATTAGCAGTCGTCGACCATTGCAATGCATTGCATTGTTCGAGTGGGTTCGTGTGTATTGGTAGTGGGCTTAGAACAGGACAGAGAGGTTAGCTTCGAGTGCTTTTGGAGACGACATCGACAATGAACAATGAAACAACGACAATGTTAACAACTTGACAAGACAAAAGTCCAAATTCGATGCTGGCATTTAAGTGCTGCCGACAACTCGCACAAGAATGTCAAACGGATCCGTAAAAATAGGCCCAACCATGTTGTGATAGACTTATACCCTTGAACAAGCGATTTTAATATTTTATTTGAATTATTGTATTATGTAAGCTACATAACTTTCCGCTTGACTAATGACTTTAAATTTTAGTAAAATTATTCTTAAGGAAAAATCTTTAGAAAAGAATACAACTAAGGTATTTATTAGCAGATAATACTATTTTTTACATAATTACTTTTGATTTTAGTTATCTTCTATTTCAAAACTAGTTTTTTTAACTCAAATCTAATAGAAAATCAGCCTCCAAGGGTATAGTATCTTCGACTTGGCCGAAGTTTTCAGTGTTGTTTTGTAATTCGGCATTGGCATGACTGAGATTGCTTTGTTTTTTAGACTTACAACATAGACCGAAGTGGAGGGCACCGATAGACTCGATCCAGAGCTACCGCGGGCACCGTACTATAGTGATTTTTTGTTGGTTTTTGGAAAAAGAGACATAATTCGCGGAGATCGAAAGATCGACGACAACGTGATTTGTATTATATTTATAACATTTATAAATTTTTGTTGTTGTCAAGTTTTGATATGTATTTATTTTGTAGGTGATCGTGGGAGATCGGGGGAGATAAGATATAAGAGAGCGTGTGTTAGAGCATTTCTGTGGTAAGTATGTAGACTTCGCTGCGGGGTCAGGGGGAAATGAGCTAATCATAAACGCATTCATAACTGATCAGATCGGAAATCATAAGGCTTGAATAATCTTTAAGAACAGAGGCAACTGAATCCAGAACGGAATGTTTCTTGTTTGCTTTTGTAATGTTCGCTTGAGAACTGTTAACTGTTAACTGAGAACTGAGAACTGTAACTGTTAACTGTAGTATTGGTAAGTAACTGTAAGAGCTAATCTAGGCGCTATAGCTATTGATGGCTATATATGGATAGTAGTAGTATTTCGGCGGGTTCAAAACACATGGAACATGAGCTGCTGGAGAAGCCAAACCAAGGAAACAGCGAGCGAGGCACTCAAATAAAATTTCAATAAAAATCAAATAAGGGCAAGCCTTTTGTGGCCACCGAAGGCCAATCGAGTGGCACATCGCGGAAAATAAAGCGAGAGCGTATATATATACAAATATATTTTTATATATATATAGTATATGGGGGCAGGGGGTGAAACCACAACAAACAATGGTGGCCACAAAATAAAAGCCAAACAAAAGCGGGACAAAAGAACCCAATAAATACAATAAAAATAAACACAAGGAAAATAATAAAAAACGTTAACGTCCAAATTGAAATCGAAACCCAGTGCCGGGCCAGACACAAACAACTTACAGTTGGCGGTGACAAATTGATGGTGGAGCCCCGCCGCTCCTGCGGCCCGATGCTCGAGTGCCTCCTGGTCGGCAGCCCGCTGCCCGGAGTGCCGCCTGGCGAGCTGGCGCACGAGGGCGCTATCCTGATCTTCGGAGTCATCAGCGTGTTGTCCGACAGCCGCCGGTTGGGGAACACGTTGCCCACTCGCAGGAAGTTACTGTCCGGCGACGAGGGCGAGCAGCCGAACCACCAGCCGCCCAGCATGCCGGATCCTAGATGCACATAAAGATGAGGAGAGCATATTACTTAGATATATAGCCAGAATAAATTATGGTAAAAATATGAAACTTAAAGGATATAGCCACAGAAATAGCAATAAAAGTCAATTGAAAAGGATTTTAAAAATAAATAATAGACTTTAAAATCTTTATAAAATATATTTAACTTATAAATTGGTATGTAAATCTTTTGAAAACATTTACAAAATGCAAATATATTTGTAGTGTCTTGTAAACAGTTTTTTGTAGCACAAACTACCATGTAAAGGTCCGTTTTAAAAAATTGCTGTAACTTATTTCCTGTACACGGCTAACACGGAATGCGATTCATCATCAGATACCGCTACGCGTGCCTTCCACAGCCCTCTGTTGGGAAGCTAATTAAGTCTAATAATGGTCGCGGTCGAGGCCCAAAAACAGAGGCACGTAGGCGACATATACATAGCCTCCAGTCGGCGGCGTGACCGCAGTCAGTGCCAAAAACCGACAAATCGGCAACCAGACAGACCGGCAAACCGACAAACAAACTTCGAAACGCAGTCACTGCCAAGGACATTCGTACATTTTGCGGTTGCGGCCGCTGCACATGACTTGGGACACCCCCAGCCACCCACACCTGTTCTCATTCGGATTCCCATTCAGAGGCAATTTATGCCGAAAGTTATTAACTTGAATGCATGGCAACTGTCAAGGCTGCGCCAGCCCCTCGGTTTTCGCAATTCGATTAAGGTTTTTGGGCTACGCGAACAGTCAACAAACAACTGGGAGACACATAAAGAAATTAATATAACCTTGAGGTTCTCTAAAGGATAATTGATTTAATTTTAATATTAATTTTAATTTGATTTTTTATAACCCTAGGCTGTCACCCGTGGCGTATACGTAATTTTTAAATAAAACCTTGAAGAACACGAAAATCTTTTAATTTCTTCCAACTTAAATCCTATATCCTAGTGATTTGTTATATTTATGAACCGAGCACTCTGCCATTTTAAAATGTTGTTCCCGCCAGTTAGGATTCCGGTTTCCGGGAACCGCAAAATGGTCCTGACCCTGTTTGTTTGTGACTTTTAAACTTGCAATATGCAACGTGGGCAGGTGACAGGCAGCAGGTGATAGGTCAGAGGGTTCGTGCCAGGTGGTAGCTGACTCTGACCCCGGCTGTGTTGGCAAATTGTCAGCCCCGGCCGGAGCTCAGTCCCGGCTGAACTGCTTCGTGTCTGCGGGCGATTAGGGCCATTATAATAAATCATCATTAGGGGCGAAAGTTCATTAAGTACAAGCATTGCACACAGCCTGTACATGTTGTTACCATAGCAGATAATGCCCGGCTGCGGGCGGTGCTTTTGATTTTCATGTTGGTTATTATAAAATTATCGTTGCCTGGATAATACAATTAAATGCCGGTCACAATGGCCCGACACTGAGTCCGAGACTGAGCCCAAGACCGAGCCCGCTGATTAGTGGGCAGGACAAACGGGCTCCTGTCACGTTCGATGAATATCAATTCGAAATCACGACGAAATTTCCAATTATACATGCCCACAGGCGGCTACTCAGCCAGCCGAGCAACTTCGGGGGTTAGGGTGTAGGCCCATAAATATATATGTATATACCTTGGGTGGACAGTTTAGCTTGGCTTTGACAGATTTCTTAGACCCTAAATAATGGTTTACACTTCTCCCAGGCATTAAATATAAGCAGATATTAGCATAAATTTGCATTATTTACTGTTTAAGGTGTATAGGTGTAAAATCTATAATGCTATTTACTGGATAAGGACTTCATTTACTCCTAATAAGCCACAAAATAAAGGATAACAGATAGTGTCTTACCGCCAGAGTTCTTGCGGGCCATGTCCTCGGCACTGGACGTCTTGCGTTGATCTATGCGCAAGTTGGGTATGTTGAAGGGCGGCGCATTCATGTTGTCCGTGGAGAACTGGTGACGCAGGGTGCGATGCCTTTCCGGCGAGGCCATCGACAGATTGTCCAGCTTCAATTTGTTCCTCTGCTGCCGATCGATTGCCTCCAGCATCTGCTGCAACACCTGCAACAACAATAGGACACGGGGAGTTGCAGCCTGAAATAACTCGGAGTAGCCTCCTGCCGCCACTCACCTCCAGCAGGTAGCAATATTGCTCGAAATTGAGTGCCGGATTGACGGTGTGCGGTATGAGCAGGGGCAGCACGTTGGTGGCCATGGTCTCCACGGTCAGGCCGTACGTTTTGTCCACAAACAGTTTATGATAGATGCCTGCGAAATTCAATTAAGAGATGTGGGGTTACTTCCAGGTGGGAACAAAGGCTAGATGGGTGCTCTTCAGCCATTGAAAATGCACTGGGAATTGTGGAAAACGGAACACAATAAAGCTAAGAGATAATTGAAAGAACTAATAAAAGATGGTTTTACAAATTAACTTCAATTGAGATTTCATTACATCATTAAATAATTGTTTAAAAACAAATTAAACTCTCCAAGTCACCATAACAATCTTAATTGCCAAGTGAACTATATTTTCTTAAAATGTTAAAGCAAATATTTTCTCAATTTGAAAGAATAAATGAAAATTAGTAAACACTCTGCAGGCTATTTGTGTTAATCCATGTTTGCCACCAGATAAGCCGGTGTAAAACCTGCATTGTTCGTAACGCGCCGACGGTGAAATTGTGTGCGAATCATGGAGCATTAATTAGTTTTCGATAATCGACTGGAAAAACAATGGCCCACTGGCACTGAACTGGAAAGTGGTTGCAACTGCCAAGGGCATTGTCTGTGGCTCAACTTACGCACAGTACGCATGATGATATCGGGATCGGGAATCCTTATGTTTGCCAACAGAGGCAGTACCTCATCCATGACCTGTCCCAGAGAGAAGAGGATAAAAACAAATGATATATGGAAGATTTTACAAGAGGGGAACTACTAAAAGACCCACCTGCGCCCGCTCCATGCGGTCCATTACCCGCTCGATGCACATCAGCACATTCTGCACTATCTTCGGATCTGTAATGTTCTTCTCGAACACCAGTTTCACCTTGGGCAGCACCATGCGGCGGATGGAGAGCTCATCGATGCTATCAAACACATTGGCCACGGCCACAACGGCAGCACTCTGGGGGTTTGGTTTTGGTTTTATAATTAAAATGTAATACAAGTCTGAACAACAGGTGGGTAATAGGATGAGCGCTAACATTTTCTATATACTTTAAATATTAATTTTCAAATAAATAAATAAAAGAATTTTTGTATACCCAGGGTTATGCTTTTTTTTTAAGAAAATATTACGTAGTATTTTCAAATTCAACCTAATTATTCTTTAGGCAAAACACCTTTTTAATAACTCTAAAATGTCAGTTATTTCCTAAGTCTATTTCAAAAATTTTCTGCTTCGTGGCAGATGTTGCTATAAAAACCTCTACGAAATGCTATCTCCTTTTAATGAGTGGTTAAATTTTCTTTTTATATTTATTGAATTTTAATTTCTCCCATTCCAAAGAGTCCAAAATTGCGGAAAGAAAATGTAAATTTCACTTGCTCTGTCACTTTTATACTCTGAGTCAGCGTCTGAGTCGCAGTTAATTAAGAAATTGCTGCTGTAATTACACAATCAGCTCCGTCAACCCATTTCCATTCGCATTCGCAATCGCATTTCCATTTTCCTGACTGTCTGTCTGCCAGTCAGTCTGCAAGTCTCCCAGCCTCGAAGTCTCCGAGAGTCTGCTGCTGTATCTAAGGTGATTTGCATATCCGAGTGGAGCACTCACCTGCACTTGTATCGTGGAGCCGTCGAAGGAGCAGAACAACATTGGCATTATGTCCGTGGTGACATCCTCCGGCTTCGTCTTCTCGATAATCAAATGCAAATTCTCAAGTATCGTAACGCTGGCCTGAATGGATTTCGGTGTATTGTAGACGACTCTAAGTGAGATAGACAAGAGATACATCACAGATTTGATTAGAAACTTTTCGCTATTAATTTGAGTTCATATATGGAAATTTAAGCAGCAATAAGTCAAATAATGTTTTAATTTAACCTTAAACACAACATTTTAAATACAAAGTACTTTATTGCCCTGTTAACCATTAATAAACCATCGACTTTTAGGTATTTTTGGCTTCTCAATTCAAATAAAGAACTCCGCAATGTCTAGTGTTGCCGAAAATAAACGCATTATTCCAAGTTTCATTGTGTGGGCGCGTGTGAAAAGTTCTTTTGGGTCAAGTTATTTCTTTTTTTGGCCGGGTGTCAATAAGCGTCTTACAAGTGGCCACAAAGTTTGTCGTCAAGTTTCGGCAAAGTAGTGAGCGCGAACCCGAGCGGGCTTTTGTGTGTCTTACTAATTTATGCACAGCTCCCACAAAAGGTGAGCACTCCTTCACGCCCCTGGCACCCCCAGGACATACATAGTTGGGGGAAAGTTCGCCAGTTGAGCTCTATAAATTACAATATGAACTGTCTCCCGGCTCACTGGGCGCAATAAAACGTCATGAAAATTGAATAACAGAAAAAGTGTCGCGAAAGTTTTTCAATTGTTCAAACACAAAGTTCGTATCGCCGACAGAAGAGAATAGAGAACACAACGGAAGCTGAACAAAGACAGGATTGGCTTCAACCGGACTTTTCTGTGTTTTATTAATATATTTGAATGGAAAAAATCTACAAGAGATCTATCTTGTTTCTAGTAATACATGTAGTACATAAAAATCACTTATGAAGAAGGTCTTATAAATTATTTTGAGGTACTTCAATTATCTATTTTTCTGTTAATAAAGAGCTCTCTAACGTTACTAAAAGCAAGTCTTTTTAAGTCACTAAACACACTAAACACACAGCTAGCTTGTAATATTAAATTAACATTTTCCAACCCGCCTCTGGCTCTTTAGTTTGCCATCCTTGAAGTGCCCATTGTTACCTCTAATTCCCTGCCAAAGCATTCTATAAATACAGCAACCAGCATCCCGAACCCATACTCACTTCATGGTGGCCGACATAAGGTTGTCGTACTCCGTGTGCGTGGCTTCCTGGACAAAGAGCATGACCGGCTGCAGGACCGCGGCGAGGACCTCGTTATTGTTGATCTCCGACTTGAGCATGGGCCAGATGTTCTGCCACCAGAGTTTCTGCAAGGCAAACAAAAAAGAGAAGCGAACACAAGGAATGCGGGGAAGTCATTAACCAGTCTATGTCATTTCAATTGCCAATGCTGAGCCCTCATTAACGGCATCGGACAATGGCATCCAAAAAAGATGGACTCCTTCCGCTCGCTGCTGCCACAAAAGGCAAGACAAAGAGACAGGCATGTTACATTTTTGCAACTGTCATAAAACGGCTCGTAATTCACAAATTGTTTGGCCGTAAAGCGCACAACTTGGCGCCGTAAATGATTAATGCTCTGTCAGTTCGTTCGCCCGCAAAAACGAGATGGAGCCCCACCAAAAAAAAAAAACACCAAAATTTGTCCAACGTGCTTGCATCCGTTTCCGGCGGAAGGAGCAGGGAGCAGCGCGCACTTACACGTGGTATCAGCGGCATGGCTTCTATCAAGGTGGTCTTGTAGAACTGCGACTTCTGCTGCGTGTCCTTCATGTTGACCACGTCCAGGAATTTAAGGGCATTTATAGCCGGATCGCTGTGCAAAAGGGAAATATGGCAACATTAAGTCAATGGTATTCAATGGAATTACGTTATTTTTTAAGGGTGATACAGAGGGAAAAAAACTTGAATATTTTCATTTTTTCTTTGTGTTCTACATCTTTATTTCTTTATTTATAGATAAAACTGCTGGCTTAAATATTTACTATATACTATATATAAATACCAAACCGTGTATAATCGCTTTAAGTGCTTAATTGCATATATTTTTTAAACGATTGCGGCTGGCTTAGTCGGTAAATGGCATCAATTAAACATTAAGCTTCAAAATGAAGCAACATCATCAAATGGAAAATGCCGCTGGAAAAACCCGCAAAAATTAGCTAAAGGCAATATTTATCTCTGTGCCACCGAAATTAAAATATTAAGTCCCCGCAGAGCTTTCGAACAGCGTCGGCGGCGGCGCCACAACTTTCTAAAATGGAATTGTAAATACTTTTCATTGTTATGTAAATCAAATTGCTGAAATTTAATTGCCAAAAAGTGTTTACTTTCGACCCGCATTTTCCCGCAGCATTCCCAACCGCCCCTTATTTCCCCACCCTGACGCCGTTATCTGGATGTGAACAGACGAGGACCGTAAAATGTGAAATTGCCACAAATGGAAAATAAATGTGGCATTATTCGACGCTGCTTTAGTTTCGCTTAGTTAAACAATGAAACTAAATCACATCACGTATACGCCATGCTGGCCAGCTCACTCCGCTCTCTTGTCAACTTAATCAGCGGAATCGAGCAGAAATCATATTGCCAGCGAGAAACTGAAGGATGCCAAGGATAAAGGATAAAGGAGAAAAGTTAGCTTGCCACTGATTGCCAAGACACTCGAGCCATTTGCATACGCTGCTAAAAACGCGGAAAATGTTGACAACATTTAAATTAACTTCAAAGTGCTGCCACCAACCTGACTGACTAACTGACTGGAGACTGGCTAACAACGCTGAAGAGGGATGTTTAGCTGGTTGAGCTGGAGATGGATATGGAAATGGAGATGGAGATGGAGCTGCTGCCATGCCCGTGGTGCTTTTCCGCCAAAGCAAAAGATCTGGGGGGAAGAGGAGAAGGAGCACGCTGTTGCTTTTCCTGTTGCTGCTGCTGCCAAGGCTGTCAGCGCGCTTTGATGCGTAAATGGTAACAGGAAGTATATTCGTTTTGTTCTACTCTAAATGAAGTCTAATTGAATCCTGGTTAGCCAGTGAAATATTTTTGAAATTTATATAATAAAAATAATTAAATAAATATTTTTCTAAAACTTTACTTTAGATTAAAATGAGGCTTCTTTATCTAAAAAAATGAATGAGTCTCAATCTTACTTTACTTATCTTATTTTTCAGTAAATGGCTTGACCATGATCACTCAATGAAATTGCCCTTATGAAATACCAATTTCAATTCAATTCACAAAGCACCAGAGGCTGGCATTACCACACAATTGCCAACGTTTTGCGCTACTTTACATTCAATTCACCTATGGGGCATATACACGTACATATATATTCCAGAGACAGACTGCGGTATCCCCTAGCTGAGCTACCTTTTGCTGCAGCCCTCCCTCCTTCCTCATCTTCGTCTTCCATCTTCATCTCAAACTCAAGCTCCAGAGCCATCTCCATCTCCATCACCACCATCCTTGGCTTTGTTTGTCTAAACGCGGCACGTTCCCTTCCATCCCCGTGTCCCTGCCTGGCTAACAGCTGCTGTCGTCATAAATCCCAGAGTCAGCCAGCCAGGATGCTGCGAATGCTGTGGAGGCTGCGAATACTGCGGATACTGGAGAGGCTGTGGAGGCGGCCCTGCAATGCCACTGCCATTGCCAGTGCCATCCTGCTCAACTACCACAGCACAATCAGCTGAAAAGCAACGACTTTGTGCACCCAGGAAAATGATTTAAATTTATAGAAATGTCACTAGGGAGAACACAAAATATAAATAAATATGCTAGGGATATCAAGGGATATTCTAATAAAATAATTATGAAAGCAAGAAAGGATAACATTTAAAGCTTTCCTTATATAACCTTAAAAACCTTTCAAAACGCTGCTATTTTAATGGTATTTTAATATTTTTTTTTCTCCCAGTACACTTCTCCCATTTGCTTAGCATTGCGTATGTCTTTCAGGTCTGATTACCGCTTTCATTTGGCAAACAGACGTAATTAAAGTGTGCGTGTGTTGGATGAGGCAGCCAAGGTGGTGGCGGCTGGTTGACTTGGGGGAGAAAAAATGAAACCTTCAATTGAATTTCAGCTACAGGTACAAATTGGCTTAGAGATTGCGTGTCAGTGTCGCCGAGGGCAAGTTCTGGGTTTCCTCTGTGTGACTCTGCGTGTGCTCTTAACAGGTGTCAATTTCATTTGAAACTCAAACAAAAACTTTCAACGAAACTGCGCAAATTGCCACAGTTGCCAGAGCTTCCTGTTGCTTTGCGTCTTAGCCGGAGATGGAACTGGAAGTTAATTAATTTGGCCACTCACATGAAGTACTTGATGAGCTGCAGGAGCTGGGCGGTGGGCCTGGCGGTTGCATCCCTACTGGCCATTCTGGAGGTGGCCTCCTGCAGGGCAATTGGCAGCCGGGGCATAAGCTTGTGGACCAGATCATCCAGCTGGGGGGAGGAGGGAAAGAGAAAAAGAGAGATGATTTTCAAAACTTCATAATTACACAGAAAGAAAAAGTCAATTTGCTAAAAAAAATATTAAACATTCAACAAGACAGTTCTAGTACTTATTTTTTATTTACAATAACATAGCATACTTTTAGAAAATTTGTAGATCGAATTTAGGTCTAAAGATTTACGAAAGTAATGATGAACATTTGGAACTATTTTACTTAGTTTTTCTAATTGTTATATATGAGACGTAAAATTCTTGCTTCAACTCTATTATTTCTCATATAAGAAATAAAAATTTCAAGAACTAACTATAATTTTCTTGCTCTGCACAACCGAAATTAACTTTGCAACAACATTAGAAACCACTTGAGGACTTTGGTAGCCAGTCCAACGCCCCAGACAGGACCAACCAGGACGAAAAGTTTTAATGACAAGCGCCCGCGGGGCGCCAGCTACCGCTCATCCTACTGCTGCTGCTCCGGCTGGCGCTGCTACTGTTCCCGTTACTGCTCCGTCACCTGTCCGCACAAGTGGCAAAATAATTAGAGTTTCGAGTGGACTTTTTGATTACATTTGCATTTGACAAAGCTGCGAATCTAATTACAGCGCGCAAACAAGCCCATCCGAGCGTGGCTCAAAACTTTTCATCCATCCAATTGGCACTTGTCGTTGCCGCCGCCAGCTCAATACCCAAGCAAGGCTCGGCTACGGCTACGGAGAAATTAGAAATTGTTTACCCACCGTTTCCAGTTGCTTGGCATAGTTGGAGGTGGAGTTGCCGGCCTGAATCAGCGGCCTTCCGCTGTTGTATACCGCACAGATCACCATTCCCAGCGAGAACATGTCACTGAGGAGGCTGCACTTGGACGTTGACTGAGTTTCGGGAGCTAAAAAATGGAGATGTTTTAAAATATTTAGAAGTAGTAAGGATACATATTTTATTGAAAATATGGATTTTTCAGACCAATTTTATAAAGAATTTCTGATAAATATTCATTATATATTTCTGTGACATATTCTCACTCAACCAAAGGATATTTTCAATATTTACTCACCCATAAAGTCCAGACTCGGCTGGGCCATCTTGGACACCCTGTTGCTCCACGGCGGACACGGAATGGAGCTATTCAAATCGTTCTCGTTCATTCTTTCTGCAATCCGAATATGAATACGAATTGCTGACCGGACCAATCCATTTCAATTTCGTACTAAAACACACTTACCCACATATTCCATCCCGGCCAGCTTCCAAATGCCGCGCTTTGTTATTAGTATAGAAGATGGACACACATTGCGATGAATTACGTGACCGGAATAGTGCAGATATGCCAGGGCCTCGGTCAGCTGGAAAACGGGAGAGAAATAGTGGGTCAGGAGACGCTGGTCACGCTGCCACCTGCCACTCACAACTCACCTGGAGAAAGCCGTACTTCAGCTCCATGTCCAAGAAATTGTATTCCTTGGCATGGGCAGGTCGCTGGGGCAAAGTGTTGGCCGCCGCCTGAGCCGCCGCTTGTGCCTGGGCTGCCGCCGCTCCGCCCGTAGTCGGGGTCACATTGGCGCTCTCGTAGGTCTTCGACTCCTGCAGAGGGAGAAATTTAAGGGTTACTTAATTTTATTCTCATTTTTCTGTTTAACAAATCATACAAACTAATTACTTTCTGTAAACATATTAAACTTTCACTTCATTTTTCTTTTAAAATAAATCACTTAATAGAATTAAATCAATTTTGTTATTTTTCCAGTGCACGATTGCGGACAGGTAATAAAGAGTTAGGGCCTAATCCCAGACTGAGCCGATCGGGTGGCCTTAAATTCGTCTCGCCCTCGGCTTGGGCTTCGGCTTGGATGGCAGGCTACTTTCAGCTGATGGCTTTAAAATTCCCATTCAGAGCATTGCATTTGATGATAAGCCATTCAAATCTCTCGTGTTTCTGCTGTTTGCTGTTTGCTCCTGCCTGGCTTTTCCATTTTCCCCCATAGCTTTTCCTTTTTTCCAATTTTTCGTTTGTTTTGTGAGGCAATTTGCCTGGTTGTATATGATGCGTGCATGTGAGAGATTTTTTTTTTTTTTCTGAGCTTTACCTCTTGCAATTTTCAATGTAATTTAACTCGAATCGACTTGCCTTGAAACTAAAAACTATAGAGAAGGTTTCCCTTATTTTTCTTATTGTTGAGTTGTTTCTGTGGGCATAAGTATTGTTGCTGCAAACAGAATTGGTGCCGTGCGTTTCGGTAGTGTAAATATATCTAAAGGGAGAGCTATTTAGTTGGGGAAACTATTTTCTAGCTTAGAACTTTTATAATTTCTATTGAAATAAAATTGATGATGGAAACTATACAATTGCAAACCATTTAAGAATAACCTAATAATCCTTCTTATTATACAAGTTGGTCTTCAAAATCTCTGGAAATGTTATAACTCAACTATTACGAACATTTCTAAAATATAATAATATATTATATTTTCATGCATTTTAAATCTAAAACTATGCTCAAGAATACCAATCTCATTTCATGGTATAACTATACGTTTCCTTTAACACTTCCAATTGCCTAACATTTTCTTCTCCTATTTGTTAAGCCATATTTTGACACAAACTTCAACTTGTACAACTTATTCGTTGCGGAACAACAATTAATTTGAGTTAAGCAACTAACTTGATGCCGTATCCCGAATGCTTTTAGAGCTTAACCGAAAAACTAAAACTACATTTAAGTTGTGACACGCACTGTATCCGTGTGTGCGTATCAATTTCTGAGCTGTGCTGCAGACCGACCGAAGCTCTTTATTGACTCAATCTTGGCAGCGTAAACTTTCCCATACACACACATACACACATGCATAGCCAGACGCTTATGGCCTGGCTAACACAGACGCGCGTCGTGTAATTCGATTTAGTTGTGTGCGAGAGCTGCGTTTGTGCTACTGCTGCTGCTGTTGCTGCTGTGTGTTTCTGTCATGCATACCCAGTACTTGCCACGCCCACCGACCACCATCCGCCCCCATTGTGCTCGAAAGTCAAACTATGCACTTGGCTTGCCTGGAAAACTTTAACAAAACACAGAGGCAGCAGCACCAACAACAGAACAACAATCAACCCAACAATCTAAACATTGTTCCGCCATACCTGGGAAACACTAGACTGGACTGGCAGTGGACACGGGATTGCACAGGGAAAAAGATTCTAGCTTAAAGTCATTGAATTTGAATGGTTAATATTATGAAATAGTTGCAAATATTATAAAATTTATCTTCTTAAAAGGGATATCGCCTGTTTCAACCTCTAAGATAAGGCAATAGGTTTCACTGGCTTCACAATTAATATTTAACGAAAATTTAGGTAGATTAATATTATTTAAGTTTAAACAATATTCTATGCCAGAATGTAATCAGATAATTATGCTTAAGATAACAACTTTAAAAACTTTGTTGAAGATTTAAAAACAGAAAAACCTAAAAAAAAATCGACAAATTTAATTTTCTTTATACCATATTTCTTTGCCTGATATAATATTTGTATTTAAACCCCAGAAAAACTATAAATAATAATTCAACCCTTGATTTTTTCCCGTGCTTTGATGGAAAAAGGCCGAACCAATATAGGACTGAAAGCCAACCAGGCGACAACACAAATTGCATGTCCATGTCGCTGTCAGCAACTCAAACTCGCTACTCGCAAGTGAAACTGGGAAAAGGGCACTGGGAATATGGAACCGGGAGGGGAAAGCTGAAAAACTAAGGCCAAAACTCACGTGAAAGGCCAGCACATTTGAGAGGCTGGCAAAGATGGGCTCCGAGGCAAAGGCCAGAGTGTCCGCACTCTCCTCGACCGTGTGATAGATCTGGAGTATCTGCGGGCGAGAGGAGAAGGCAGGGGGTCGATTCAGTGCTTTGGAAAAGTAATTATCGATTGGGGGAGGGCACTGGATAGGTGCCACCGGGAATACAGCAAAACAACACTCACCCGCGGATGGCGAAAACGCTCCAGAGTCTTCACCGAACTCTTTAGCAGCTCCGTTATGGCCTCCTTGCGCCGCGGCTTATGCAGTTTCTCTGCAATTTTCTTCTCGAAGATAAACACTGAACATTCCTGCAAAAAGGAGATCCAATGACAATTTTAAATAATTCGAATAATTGAAAGAAAAATGGAAAATATATGTATGGATATATGTATTTAAATAAGTTTTTTTTTTATTTAATTAATGAATTTCAAAGAATTATTCCGCTGGTTTTGACAGCCTCTTAAGTTGAGAGTTAAATAGGTCAAGTCAATAATAATTTAATATTTAAAAAGTAAAAGAAAAATATTGATTTTCCAAATAATAAAGTATCTATAATTAGTACAAACTTAATAGATGTTTCTTCGGAATAAATAAATGTGCAATATTCTTGTTAAAAAAAAATTATTGTATTAAGAGAGCAATTTCAAGGGAATTTATGTTCTAAGAAGAGTAGTTCCAGACCAGGAAAATTTCCTGACCAAGCTTCACTGGAAATATATGCACGGAATTTGAGCCCCCGGCCAGGTCCCTGTGTCCACTCACCCTGTTGTCGCTCTTGCGGTAGGCATCGTGGATGCGCCACACCAACTCTGGGCCGGCACAGGCCACCGGCTTGCCGATTTCGAAGTACTGCGTGATGGGATTGCCCTCGGCCACGTTCTGCATCGATGTGGAGGCGGCCACGTTGGTGCTCTTGAATTTGGCAAACATTGTGCCGGCGGGCATTCCGTCTATTAGCTTGGAGAAGACATTCGAGAAGCTGCCCTGTCGCTTTGGCCCCGGCACGGGCAGTGGTGCGTTCGCAGTTGCGCTGCCACCGATGCTGGGTGCCGATCCACCTGCTGTCTCCCCGAGGGTAGCTCCTGTCGCTGCTGATCCTCCTGCTGACGCTGATGCTGCTGCTGCCGCTCCAGATACTGACGATGTGGATGATGATGGCGATGAGCTGGCGAGTAATGCACCACTGATGGAAAGCCGGCCACGACCGGGTAATTGTCCACCTGCTGCTAATCCCACGCTGGAGGCTGTACCGCCCACTCCAACACCCGGGCCATTAAGTATATCCTGTCGGTTGGGAATCACTGGGGCCTCGTAGCCACCGAAGCCATTGAATCCGGTGCGCTTATGGAGAATGCCTGGCGATGGCGGTCCCGCTCCTGGTCCTGCTGCTGCTCCCACTCCTCCTACCACTCCCACTCCGCTGCCAACGGATACCTTGCGCTGCTGCAAGCCGATGTCAAGCACTGTGCTGGCGCTACGCTGCCTGATGGCCGCCACTCCTGTTCCTGATCCGACACCTGCCACCGCCACTCCTCCTCCGCCGCCGCCTCCGCCACCGAATTGCTGCTGCTGGTGGCCACTTCTGGCCGGTGAACCCGCTGCCACCGCTGTCGCTGCCACCGCTCCTGATCCTGCTCCGCCGGCCGCTCCTCCTGCCGCACCTGCCACACCTGGTCCGCCCGGCGGCGTTATTCCCACAGCGCTGCCACTGCGACCGCGTTGCACCTCCTCGACACTATCCAAACGAGAGAAAATTCTGGCCGCCGTTGTTGCCGTCTTTGATGTCTAGAGAGCCGAGAGTAGCTGCTGTGCTGCGTCGTTCTTAGAACTTCCTGCAATTAGAGGGGAGAGGTAATGGAGTGTCAGAAAGTCAGGGCGGCAGAGAAAATAAACGCAAAATTTCACTTTAATTGCGGCCACTTCACATTGCGCATACGCCCCGTTGGCCAGGCGACGCAGACCTGCCTGCCTGCCCTCCTGCAATGGCAATTAATGCGCTTATTGCTCCGCTTGGCTTTTGTGCTCAATTTATACACTCATTAAGCCCAGGCAAAAGGAGCTCCACTCCAGCAGCAGTTTAAAATTGTTCTGCCTCCGTAGGTCGCAGCCAGTCGAGCTGGTTGCTCTGGGTTAATTCTGTTCAAGTGAGCGTTAGACACAATTTATTTATAGCTGGAATGCCCAACGGTGGCCAAAGTTTTATGAATGGAAATTGCTAAAAGCCCAGCATCTAATCTCTAATTAGCCAGCATATAAATATGGCCATTACGCATGGTTATTTATACGCCTATCTAAACTGCAAGCTAAATGCATTTATGTGCATCAGAGAGATAATATTTGTAGCATTCAAAGCAAGCCAAGTACAGCATGAATATTCCCAATCAATAACTAATAGAGTACAAATATTATGAGCATATTTAAAATATATTTATTTTAATTAAAAGCTTCCTACTTGTTGGTTTATTTTCGGCAGCCCACACAGTCAAATTCTATTTAATTGAAAACAAATAGGAAGTGCTACAACTCTGTGCCAATTAAGAGTTGTATAATATTTATATATTTAAAATATATAAAATTAAAAAGCCATTTTTTGGGGCAAAGTTAATAGAGTCAAAAGATGGAAATATACAGCTTTAAGCTGACCATAATCTCTTGATGCACTTCAATTAAAAGATATAAATAAATAGTGAATGAGAGACGTGCTTTCCAAGGTTTAACTTTTATTTTTGAAGTAAAATAGGGCATTCAAGTCTCGGCTATGACCGTTTCACACAAAACTGCACAATTAAAAAGTTAAATGAGCTTGGCCCCGGCCATTCATTGTGGCTGAATACGTATAAGTAAGGACCCTGCTCCAGTGTGATTGTTGGCGGCCACATTTTCTGGAAATTTATGAAAATGCGCTCAACACATAAGCTCTCCCATATTAATTGCTGAAAATAGCCACAGCTACAGCTCTGGGAATCCCAGAATTGCGATGAATTCGTTGCATAAACTATCCCAATTGCTCAAATGGAAATCTAATGCAATTTGACTTGCCGAACATGTGTCAAAGTGCCTGGCATGTCTGTCGCATACCGGCTGCACTCGCTGCTCTGCTCTGCCAGGACTTTGCTGGGACTTTGCCAGGACTTTATGTTACCTCCAAGGAGTGGGGGCGGTAGGGGGCCTGTCTGTCTGCTCTGCTCTTCGGTGTACATTCTTTGCCGACTGAATTATTCAATGCAAGTAAACATTTTGGCAGCATGCTCAGAGCAGCTGTCTGAAAGCCAGAGGGAAGCCAACAAATTGACTTGAGACATCTTACTGTGGCGCAGGTCCTGCGCCCGAAAACGAGCCAACATAAATTTCCAGCAAACGTAAAACTATTTAGTGAAAAACATTTTCCCGACTCTCTCTCTCTCTGTCTTTTTCTCGTTCTCGGCAGTGTAGCGTGAAATTTTTTCGTTAAATAAATTGTGCTGATGGTAAATAAATAAAATATGAGAGCCCAATGGTCGGGGCCGTATTGTGTGCTTAACGCTGCGAGTATCTATAGAACAAACTGCCCAAGGATTCACGGACAGACCGAAGGAATGGCGACACCGGACACGGACCGATGATGGCTGACAGATAGACGCAGGAATGGAGGAACTGAGGAACGGATGGAGAACAGAGGAGGACGAAGTCCGGCGGAAGACGATTGGCGGCTGGTTGAGCGGAGGCAACTTTCTAGGTCAGCATTTTACAATTGAGGGCAAACAAGCTTAAATATTTAAGGCGGTTTAGCGTGGCGAATGGATGCGGTTTGCTTTTACGGCATTTTATTTGTAATCTGCCAGCGCCCGGAATTTGCAATGGGAATTTTCAAGTAGTCTCGGGATAAAGAATTCGAAACAAATTTATTTCCAAAGAAATTTTTCCTGTGGGGTACTTATTTTATTAACTTTGCAGTTGGCTTTTATTGTTTCATACTATTACCTAGGCAGATCTTTAATAAATTAATTTATTTGTAATTTAACTGGGCGATGTTTATTTATTTACTTAATATATACATTAAAAATAAACATACAATTTAAGCTGCAGTTCTCATCACATTATTCTCAGAATCAATTATTTACATGTCAATCATAAACTGTAATTGAAGTGCAAACAAACATAATTTCACAAATTGCCTTTTCTGGAAAAAACTTTCATTATAACATGTAAATTCAGCCTGGCAACAAATAAATTGGGTAGTTTTTGGTAAAGAAATGGAAAGTAACTTTTTATATTTTACTATTCCATTTGCCTTAAAATTTCCTGGGACTTATAAGTAAAGTTTACTTGTTAGCAAATAATAATAAAATAATCATTAACTTGGTAAAGAATTTCATTAACTTTTGAATACTTCCACGTCTTAATTTGTCAAATTTTATATTACTGGACATCATTCCATCAGAATTATTTATGCCCTCATCAATTACTTATTATAATTGAACATAAATAACGGCGACAATTGGTTGAAATGCATAAAATATGCTTCGTATATATGTATATTTTTGTCATTTTATTATGGATTACAAAATTTAATGAATTTAATTTAAACCAAATCAGTTTAATTAAAACCTCAGCCGGTATAATAAATCAAATCAATATACCTACGCTATGCGGGCATCATGAATAAAATTAATTTAATTTATTCCCATTACACACAGTGCACACCCATTAAATATGCAGGCTAATCAAATTTGAGGTATCGAATTTAGAGTTTGTTTGTTTGAACAAAAAACGCAATATTTCCACGCTTTAACCAGCTTTAAATGTGTAGGAGTAATGGCATATAATCCATTGATCGGCCATTGGTTTCCTAATAAATGTCATGGATTCGATTTGAATTTTATAAATGCGCTGGAATAGGGGGTGGGGCGGCAGGAGTAGGAAAATTGGGGCAGTGAAAAGCCGTTAATGCGAACGACTCGTGGCCCGGACACGTGGACTCTCGCCGGCTTTATTGATTCCGACATGGGCACGAACCGGGCTCGAACTGAGGCAGCCAAAATTAAATGATAAAAGCGAAGCGTAAACACACGGCTCCTGGAACTCTGGGAATTATTTTTGGCAACCAGAGAGAAGGCTATATAAAGAGAGAAAAAGACAGATAGAGTTTCCTGTGTTATATTTGACAATTTCAGACACATAGAGGCATACAAAATGAGTCTGTGTGCATACAGACAAAGGAAAAAAAGGTTTTTTTTTAGTAATAAATCAATTTTCTAGATAATTTAATGCTCTAAAAAGTCAAAACTTATTTGAAAAAATTGGATATATGCTAAGGTTTATTTCAAAATTAAGTCCTCGTTGAGAAATACTTATTTAAAGCGAATTTTAACCTGCTTTACACTCACTTTTACAAGCTATACATCTAGTTTAAAGTGTGAAGATTTATAGGCAACCCTTAGGCCATTTTTCTTGTCGTGTATTTGTGTATTTAACGTTCTGTGAGTTAAATATTTTTAGCCAAAAGTCAGACGAAGATGGGCGTAAAGAGCACAACAAAAACGAAGGCAACAAGCGGCCGTAGGAGCAACAAAATGTTGCCAACTCAAGCGCTGATTGAAGACAAACACAAACACATACACAGCACGCACAGTGGCCAAAACAAACGATGGCAGACGCACACGCACACAGATGTCTCAATTAGCTGCACCAACACGTATGCAGAGGCACAGGCACAAGCGGCGAGTGGCCGAAGGATACCAGAATTGTGTCAGTTAAGGCAACTGTGGCCCATCTTTTGTTTGCTTTCGCCTCATTTATTGTTCGCCTGCCAGCCAGGGACAAGGACCGTACACAGAAAAAGAAAATATAAACAAGGCAAGGATATCAGACTTAAAATTGTGAATATATACATATTAAATTATTGATCCTTAAACTGCTAAGAAGAAGCTTTCCTTGAGAAAATTAAATGCAAATTAATGAATATCAAACAAAACAAGCATTTTTAATCTAAAATATAATAAATGAAATATATTTTAGCATATTTTTTATAAAACTACGTAGAATCTCTAGAGATACAATACAAATGAATACCAATTAACAAGCTTTAGTAAAGTTTATTTATATTTTTCCCAAGTGTATCAAAGTTACATTTCTCCTTGGCAACTGCCAAGTGCGAGTGCTTCGTTGTGCGGCAACCAGAAGCTGTGGCTCCCTGGTGCAACTCATCTACATTTGCTACGTTTCTTGCCAGGAGCAGTGGCAGGAATATTCATAGCATACTTTCGGACAATTTCCATTCGTATTCGCATTCCCTTACTGCTAACTGGAACTATTGCGGCTGCATCTGCCGCATGGATAATTACCTGTTACCTCAAAGGAGAGCCTGGAAGCCTGTTTGGGGTCCAGGAGTAATAATGTTGAAGCGTAAGCCCCTGCAGAGATAGCTTTGATTATTTCTTAGAAGGTGTCAATATACCCAAACACTACCTGTCTTTCACGGCAAATTATACACTCTATCATGCAGAGGTATTATGATAGCAATAGTTTAGGTAATAACATACTCATTATTTGCTTTTCCCTTTTTGGAAAAGGTTGTTGGCCACACTCCACCCTATGAAAGGAGGGCCAGAGTTCAATACACGGTCGGACAGAGCTCATTCCCCTTGGCATTGCGTCCTCGAGCGTAGTGCGCACATTTGCATATTACGTATACGACACGTGAACGTGCCCAGGGAGCTGAGCTGCTGCTGCTGCTACTACTGCTCCTGTCACTGAGGCATTAAGGCTGCTTAATTAAATCTTTTGCGTAATTTGTTTAGTTATCC